TTGGTGCCACTGTTCTGTTCGTCCACTCTGAGAGCAAGGGTCAATGTGGAGCTGGAAATGCTTTTGGCCACCTGGTGCCTCTTCTGCTCTGGTTGCACTCAACGCCATTGCTGTTACCCCTGCATTGCTGTTACCTCTGGAGCTGTAGTGGTGTTGAGTATTCTAGGAAAACATGGGATTACAATAGAAAAGGAAGCAAGAATGCATTGCAGAGTGAATGAGAGGAAACAATATTTAATGTTTCCGGTTCTGTGCTAATTAGACTAACCAAGTGGAAAATACTTGCTATTCTGAGAGTTCCCTGACAGAAATGTGCAATCTTGCTTTCATTTTTCGGAAAGGTAAAGACCTCCCTAATGTCATTCTCTATTCTTAAGCTTTTACCACCTTAGATGTTTTGATGAGGCTTTGCTACATTGAATGTATCTATTTTGATTCTGCCTGCTTTCAGATGCCAAATAATTCCTTTATCAGTGGTTCTACTGCTGTTAGCTTTGCTGCTATTCCTTGCTTACAGCAACACTGATAAGTTTAGGATTTATTATTTGTTGTGGCCTTGGTCATATTGTTGCTTTTAATGGTAAGGAAGCCAGCAGTGCACCATCCAAAACAGGTCAAAGTTTGAGTGCTGCCTGGACCTGCTCTTGTAGCTGTAGTCCTCTCTGCCATGGCTGTGAGCAGTGGTGTGGGGATTGGACTGCGGTACTACAGGACCTTTGCAAACCAGCTCGTGCTTGTTTTCTCATTAGTGTAATGTCTCCAGTGAGTGGTCTCCATTTTGCAGTACACATCTGGCTGAAGGCACTTGCATTTGTGAATTCCCTTTTTAGCTGGAGTCCAGGTACTTAGCTTTGTTTTTCTGGGTTTTTTTTGTGGGTTGTGTTTGTTGGGTTTTTTATCATATGATTGGAAAAGTTGACACTACTTATTTTTGTATTGCAGAGATTTTTCCTGTCTGTCTGTTCTCTCCTAGCCTTCCAGATGTCTACAGGGCTTAGTATTCCAGGAAAAAACTGTCGTCTTCACAGTTGTGATATGCAAAACATGATTGATAAATAACGGAATCTGTGTGTGTATGTGGCCTTAAACATCAGGTTTTAATGTCCCAAAAGGTGTCCTTTTCACTGGTTAGATATTTTTTATTAACTTTTTTAGTCCCGTAAGATGAACAAAAGTGCCAGAGTTTATGTAGACAGCAGACCTCTACTGTACTTCCTGACATGGTCAATTTAAAACCCCTCACCCCAAACAAAGCCTTGTATCCCATGTGCTGAGAAACAGACTGGATGCCTTCCAAATATTTCTGAAAAACATCTTGGAAACGAAATGAACGCTTTCTTTGGAACTTAGGTGTTCAAGGTGATCATCTGCTGTGGCCCACTTGAATGGTGCTTGAGCTTCAAGGCTCCTGTCACAGCTGAAAACATGCAGTGCAGATGTCTGCTTATTTAATGGGCAGAGTTTGCATAACTAATTGCATAACTAATAAACTTATCACAGAAAACTCTCCTTCCCTCTGCCCACCCTGAAGAAGTCTTAAATCATGATAGAAACTGCTTAGCCTGTCAATAGGCTATAAAGCTTTGAAAATAATTTCCAAGGCTATATAACTGTCAGGAGAGAACACCTATCTTTTAAGAGCTCTTTGGCTTAGATATGAAGTGACACTTGGACAGTGCTCAGCATTTTGTGGATAGAAGATGGACCTCTCTGAATCTGCTTTTATTTTCTTGCTCTCCTCTCCGAGGATGCTTTGCTGCAGAGCTGTGGCTGGTTATAGTAGTTTTGGAATTCCCTATTCACTTTGCATTTGCAAATTAATACATGGTTAAAATGAGTGACAAGGACCTTGAGGTTTATCTTCTCAGCAACCATGCTTAAATAAAACTTTAAATCATGTCAAGCTTCTCTCCTGTTTGTGTTTATAGCCCTGAGAACAGATATTGCACCCAAAGTATCTCAGCTGCTTTGCACACTCTTGAAGAGGTCGCTTCTTTGGGTTTCTGTTATGAGGTTCCATGTAAAATCTGATAACTACCATAGGGAGGAAACTAAGACTGTGTTTGGATTGTATTTGGGTTGTACCTTTTGTCCTGCTCTTAAGTATTTGGGCATTAGGTTTTTATTGGATAAATGCCCCAAAGTTGTTGTTTTCTTCAGACTGTTCTTCTGGTGTGGTTTAGCATTTGTCATATGCGGCTTATGCTGTGTAGCTGCGTTGAACTTCTGCTAGAACAAACTAAATTACTACTCTACAAAGAGATTGATGTTCCCGTCCAAAACTTGCTTCCTAAAAGGCACGCAAGAAACTTTCTTTTTAGTTTGAGACACAGTTATAGTTTAGAGGTCTGTTCTCATAGAAAATTATTACTGTGTAGGTACAGCTGATTCCCAGCCACCATCCTTTCCTCTCCCTGCTTTTTTTGGAGAGTGTGTGCAAGGGTCCAGGCTTCAGCATTCGGCTGTTGAAGGCTTGAGTCCAACTCATACCTTCTGGGTTGCAAAATGGCAGTTATCATAACAGGGACGCTACCAGCTGACTTCTGGCTTTCACTGGGGCTCTTCTCAGCAGCGATTGTTATTTGAGCTAGTGTGCAGCATAACTTTTACAATGTGGCTGTGATATAGCCAAAAATCGCTTGTGTCCCCTCTTAGCCTTTGGCAAGATTGCTTCTGGCAACTTGCTCCTGGTTAAGAAGTCAAATGACACTGATTTCACCACCACCACCCCCATACCTTTGTTTTGTAAGCATGCTGAGTTACATCCCTGTAAAGACAGTATCTTTAACCTGAAGATGGCACAACTTGGGTAGATTCATCTAAATGTCACTCGTGACTTGGTAGAGGAATAGCTGCTTCTGAGAGCAAGAGAAAAAGGAGACCTTCGGCTGGTCGAACTTGGGTATAGTCTGAAAGATTTTAGCACCAGCCTTCTGTCTCATACTTTTTGGACCGCGCTGTCTGCAGCGCGCAGAACAATGTGCAGCCTTGGAGCTTTTCAAGGTAAAAGGGAGTAATCACTTCAGGCGGACTCTGTGGCTGAAGTTATTTGGAGTGTGGAATAGAGCCAGAGAGAAATAATAAAGTGTTTGTATTATAATAATCAAACTAAGAATTCATTTTTAAATACTTTCACACGAGCTTGTAAGTACCTGTTAACTTTTTAAGTATATTGTTGGGACCTACTGATAGAAGAAAATAGTGTGTCTGTAGAGATTTTGTGTATAATATTCCATATAGTAATTAGGAACTCTGGTGTGTACTGTTCATGATGACTGTGTAGGCTTCCTGTGAAGAGATCTCACACATTTTTCACACCCTGAGTTTGTCAAGTTTGTGTTGGAAGAAGTAGCATATGGTACATGTAACTATATGTGATGTTTGAAATTTTTTTTAGATTAAATTGGCGCTTGCCTTTCCTACTGGGAATAGCATTACAGGGTGTTATTTATTGAGCTCTGGAAAATTTCTTTTTGTTTTAGAGTGTCTGATAGGTATCAGAAGCTAATTGTGTTTGTCTTTGGGCACTGATAAATATTGGGGAAATACTAGACTACAGTGGCTTGAGTTCAGATCTTGTTTGGATCGGTAATAACAAAACTACTTCAAAATGTCTGTTTGCTGCTTATGGGAAACTGCTTTGGAGCATGAGCAAGACTGCCAGATGGGAAGGAACTGCTGTCCTGATACCAACCCTGCTAACCTCAGAACACAAACCCTGATAAGCGTGCACACTGCCACTTGCAGTAGGTGGGGAAGAAAGGCTGAACAGATCTTAAAAGGAATTGTTTTTCCCATCACACCCCTCTCTTGCGGATAACAGAAGGCTTTTAATCTGATCTGAAGAGAATTGGCTGAGTAGTGTTGGTTGTGAAGCCTGTGTACCCCAGCCCTGTTCTCCTGCTGGACAGCTGGTGCTCGTAGTTCAGCCACTGGTGACATCAGTACAAGTAATTTTGACAGCTACTTTAATGGTGTACACAGTTTGTACACCTGTATATGTTTGATTTGCGTTTCACTGGAGTACTGCCGTCTTTCAGCCTGCACAAATATTGACAGTCCCAAACTCTTGAGCTTGGTGTTCATGAAAAAAGGTGATAGTACCCTTAAGCAGGTAGCTGGTTTTCACCAAGTATGGGTATACGAGCAAAATGCAGAAGTAGGTTGCCTTCATATACGTCTGTGTATATCAATTTGTCCATCTCATTTGCATTACATTCATTCTTGTGTGATACCTCACAGTCCTAATTGGTGGCAGTAAAGAGGTGGCTGGTGAGCAAAGACCTGAATGAAACACTGCGACAAAAAGCAGTGGATCATGTTCATCTTGGTTCTTAAGGGAACACCGATATCCCTTCGAGGAGAATGCTGCTTACCTAACATCAACAGCAGTCTTGTATTGACAACCTTGGGCACTGGCGTCATTTCTAGTCCTGTTGGTTTTTGGTTTGGCATGTGTCAAGAGGAGATATTTAAATGGCATTATGCATAAATCCATTTAAACTATGTTGGACATCCTAGATTTTTTCCCGCCTCCCCCACCCCTCCTTGAGCACAGCTAAGAGCAAAATTGAATGCTCTGGTTGCCAGTTGGGGGGTGGTTTTTGTTCTTTCCTTTCCCTCGTGTGTTAGTTTTTGGTTGTAGTTTGTAATAATTCATGCTCAGTTATGCACCAGGCTAAAACTCAGCAATGAGTGGAAGCACTCGCTGCCGTTCCAGCGCACGTTGGCTGAGGTTTAGATGGCTGTGTATGGTAACTAGGGAACAATGCTCTGAGATTGGTTCATGACTTCCGTGCTAAGTTGTTGGGTTTTTTTTAAGTCTCCATACTAGTAGTTGAAACAACTAAATCTTGCCCTACATGCTTATCCTTCTCCATTTTTATGACTCCAGTAAAACAAAATTGAACTTTACCTTTTGACAGTAAGAGCTGATGAGTTTTGCATTTTTAAAGTTACTCTCTAAATTTAGATTATTTTCTTGTCTTTCAGGCTGCTATATGGCAAGCACTTAACCACTATGCTTACCGCGATGCAGTGTTCCTTGCAGAAAGATTATATGCAGAAGGTATGTACTTTGCAAATATAAAGTTAATGCTTTTTTTTTTCAATTTTGATTTAAGATTTTTTTGAGCCTCTGGTCCTGCTTTGTTTTATTCCTGTTGTTGTGATAGCAAAGTTTAACTTTCTGCTTGTGGAAAGCAGAAGAATGCCTCACAATTAGGTTGGAAAATCAAAGCATGATTTTTTACAGTAAAATCTCCTTAAATTAAACTCAGTTGTGTGTTTAAGAACAATGTTTACAGTGATCTGTTGTATGGTATCAAATGGGAGAGATTTTTTTTAATAACCTTAAGCATTGCATGTCTTCCAAGGGCACTTGATGATAGATGCAGTATACAAATTCTACAAATTGTCTTGATATTGAAAGCTGTCTTTGCTAATAATGCTGTTCAGATATGTTGATTGGTGTGTTAACTGAAAGAGCTAATCTTGTGATGATGAGAGAAAAGCACAGTGAAATTGAGACAATGAGAATCAGAACATATGGAATAGGTAGCTCCTGTTGAATTCTTGTTAATTTGTACTTCATTGCAATGCTGTCAGATCTAGGATGTTTTGGATACTGAGCAGGCAGTAGAAACACAAATCTGTACCTTTCCTGGGTCCTTCGAAGATCACTTTCTTCTTGTGTTCTAGTCCCTCTTGTTCCTTAACCTTTTATCTATGACCTCAGATAAGCTTTTTGTTCTTCTCTACTTCTTTCTCCTCCATCCTGGTATTCAGCTTTCCTCTATTTTGAAAGGTATTGTCCCCTAATCACTAACATGAAAAAAACAACCCAACCCTTAAGCTAAAATATAAGCGTAATATAATTTCTCATGCTAAACAACTAGAGTTGATAACGTGAACTAAACTGTATAACCTGTTTCATGCTCTGTTTTGTAATGAAATATTTTGCTTCCAGTGTTTTGCCTGACATTCCCACAATGCACTTCTTAACAATGGAAACCTAATTTTTAAGAAATAAAGACTTTTTCCTTATTATGTCAAGGTTACCCATGAAATCTGGGGTCTTCCATCTGGTGCTCAAATGAGAAGTGCTGTGTGTAGAATGTAATGGAATCTTATAATCTAGGAGTGCATAAAGGAACTGGTGTTTTAGGGATGACTTATCTCCCCTGAACACAGCACACTGAGATGCAGGGAAGTGTTAGATTGGAGGTAGTTGCCAAGGGTGTAGAAAGGAAGAGAATCCACTTTTTGCAGCAGCCAAGAGGAAAAATATATGACTTGATACTGACATTATCTTTGCAGAATAATCTCTGCAAGAGTACTTCAAACAGCTTTTTTCAGTGACCAACAGCGCTGAGAGAGAACAGCATGCATGCTGTCACTTGGTTCAAGCAATTAACTGCTAACAAAACATCTGGCTTCTGGTTGAAATAAGTTATACTGCAGCGCAGAAGCTGCTGAACTTGAATACAGTGACTCCGTATTGGCAGTGGTGAATTTACGCTGAGAAGAACTTCTTTTAAGTCTACCTGCAATTACTGTCCTTGTGGGGACATCTGTGGCTTGGTGGTTTCCCAGAACTCTCAAAGTGTGTTAAATTAGTGGATAAAAAAATTGATTTAACTTTAATTTTCAAAAAGATCTTCTGGTGGTTTTAGGCTAATAAAATGTCCTCTTTGGGTCTTCAGTTTCCATTGTCACTGTGTGGGTGATGATACAAACTTTAAATAGTCTGTTTTCAGTGTAAGAAAGGATTTGAGCAGGCAGCCCGAAGAGGTTTTTGTACAATGCTCATATTGATTTTTGAGTTCTATGTAGGTAGATGAGCAAACATCAGAATTGTTTCTTTTAATGCTGAATTCCATTTGCATGGTAGGGTGTTCTGAAAAGTATAAAGTAATGTGAGTTTCTTAATTGTTTGGAGAGTTAAGCTGCTTGCCTTTATAGCCAGCCTGCCTTTGATTTTTAAAATACACTGTTGCATAAGAGTGATTTGAGTATAAAGTTTTGGGAAGGACAAAGAACCAGGTAAGACCATGGCTGTACATAATCTGTGAGTGTATCTGACTATCTCCCTCTATTTGCTTAAAACCCCAGAAAACGGAGTTAAAAATGAAGTCATACAGATTATGTCACACAATCATAGTTTAATGCTCAAATTAACACCACAGTGTGATGCTCACTGTTGCCTCACAAAAGTGCATTCTTTGGCGTCTAAAGTTTCAGCTGATAATTCTACAGTAAGGTTTTAAGTTACTCCAGGGGTTAGCTCTGTCCTTTATGCTGTAATCACAAGTAAAATCAGCAAGTCTGACCTCAGTCTTAAATCTGAATGCCAAGTCGAGCTCTGCAAATAGAACATTCTTGGTGCCGTACATAATTCATCTCTGCAATGGAAGAAGTGTTGAAGCAGACATCAAATCTAAATGCTTCGAGTTTCTGCCATAGAGAAATGTTTGTCTGATTACTCCTGTCTGTTGTTTAGATAAAGATGACTTTTCATGTGGCTTGACTGCTTCATTCAGAATCTAGAAACCTGTGAGGACTTGGCTTGGGAAGAGGATTTGTAGGAGAGTTTGTCCCTATCACTACTTCCTAATGTAAAATAAATATCTGAATGGTAATTTCAGTGTTTCCAATGAAATAACATGTAGGCAGCAAAAAGGACAAGACAGTGTTGGGGTAGAGGTGACTGGTAGTAGCCATTAAAATTATAGACAATCTGCTCTGTTAAGTCATATGAAGATACAACATCGAGTGCTTTAGAAAAATAGCAGAAGTAAAATTGCAAACAGGAAAAGACCACTTGGAATTAGGATTGAAACTGTTAATTCGGCTGCAATTGATCTTACTTCTGAAAGCTCTTGTACCCCTTGTGCCAGGATTTGTGCGCTGCTTAAGATAGTGCGAAGTGTTGCTAGCCAGTGTGATAATACTCTGAGCCAAGTCTTGGTGTGGCCAATCTCCTAGGAATGACTGCTTTGCTTGACTTGCTGTTTTTTTAATAACAAGCTGGCTAATCACTTATTTAGATTGAGTAGCCAGAAGGATCAAAGTTCTCTTACAACAGTAGATGTTAAGAGTTGGTCTCATTATGTAAGAAAATGGCATATAGAATTTTGTTATATGCTCATGAAAAGAAATGCACTTCGCTCAGTTATTAGTTTCTGTAATACCATTACTCGTTTTCTTGTGTTTTGCTCCTAGCTGGCTTTTACTCCCTGTCCCCAAATTCCTTGTACCAAAATGGTAAACAACCAACTTGATTTTTTTCTGTATTTTTTTATTTTTTAGTACATTCAGAAGAAGCACTGTTTTTACTGGCAACGTGTTACTACCGCTCAGGAAAGGCATATAAAGCATACAGGCTCCTAAAGGGACACAGCTGTACTACCCCACAATGTAAATACCTGCTTGCAAAATGTTGTGTTGACCTCAGCAAGTAAGTAAATCCTTTATATTCTGTCCAGGGTTACAAATCCATCGTTTTGTTTGGATTTCTCTTTAAAAGCTGTCATATTGGGAAAAACTAGTAATTCATTGGTCCTTCAGCTCGAAAGATTGTAAGTGCAATTCGTTTTGCTTGCAGATATAGACCTAACGAACATTAGTCCATATTGTAGAAACCCCTAAAAGGTATCGAATAACTTAAAAAGGGGCTGTCGAACTGCGTAGGGGGAGAAAACATTGATTGCTGAGATGGCTCAAGGAGACCACTCTGGGAAGTGTTTGTTTTGGTTTTGTGGTTCTCTGATACTTTGCTTATTTCATGAAGTGTTTCCAGAATAAATTTAATGGATAGGTCGCTTCCCTCAGACAGTGAGGTTGCTCCTCTTGCCCAGTTACTGCTGGTGTGTGGGGTGGGGGAAAAGATGGCAGACAGGAATCTCTCTTTTTAAAAGCCCATAACAAACCTATCTTGAATGGTGTATTCAACATCAAAATTAACCTTGACAGGGATATAGTAGTATCCAGGTTATCTTGCTGTTTTTCTGGAGTCTGACAGCAAGAGGATATAATGAAATTGCTCAAGCTACAACCCCTAATGCCCCGAGAGTTTGTTGGTGAGTTTGTATTTCACTTCTGCGTAGACCTTTCAGATGTTGCAGCTCAAATATAGGAAATGATGTCTGACTGTGCAGAATGGAGGGGGCTGAGGCACCAAGGAAGGCAAAAACCTTAGTTCAAAAACACTTTAAATACCGTGGGAGTTCTTTACAGAAGCTTAAATGTCTCCCTACAAAATGGCTTGTGGTTATGTGTTGTGGCTTTTTTGGTTTGGTTTTTTGAGTGGCTCTCTTTCAATGACCCCAAAAAAAGGTTTAATTCTTTAGGATAGGTAATGTGATGTTTGCAATATCACGTAGTATGATGTAATTATTTTGCAGGATTTGTGATCCTACTCACAACATGTAACCAAAATGCAGGTCTCTCCAGAGGCAGCAGGGGAAGCTCCTTAGTCTTTGATACTCTTTAGTAGGCGAGTCCTTTGACATCTCTAGTGAGGATGTCTTGACTTGTTGTGTTTCTTTTGACACTCTTAACACTTTTGGAGCTGTTAGGATACAGGTTTCTTTGCATCTTCTGTTGAAAGTGAAATTGTGTTAATGCTCTACTTGGAAAAGTCCCAGTGGAATAAACTTGAAGCTGATCGTTCCCTCCCTTGCTTTTACAAAGTCTGGTGCGTGCATGTAGTACGTCAGCTTCTGAACTGATTTGTGTTAGATAGGTGGCATTTCCTAAAAATATTCTTTAGAATTGGTTAAATTTAACTGTCATTGCTGTTGTTACAGTTATATGAGCTCACTTATACAGATGTACCTTGTTTTCTTGTGGGAATGGTCTATGCTGATGGAAGCATCTACCTACAACTATAATTTCAAGTGGAGGCAGGAAGAGATGATTTTTTTTTTTATGCAGATGACAGTCTCAAAAGCCAGAAGAACACCTCCCATCCCCAGAAGTTGTATAAAGTCATTTTCAAGCCTAATAGTGAGTGGCCTATTCCATCTGAGCGGTACTGCTCACTGCAGGTGTAGTAGATGCAAACTGAGTCTTTGTTCCCCTTTTGAGCCTCTCTTGCAAGAAAGCAAGGCATTAAAATCCAAAGTCTGTGCCATATCCCAGTTTTGAATCTTAACTGAGTGTGCGGAGCCTTACAGATTGTATTTCTTAGTTGGGAAACAGAGCCAAACTAAGTGTTGTCTTAGGTTGCTACTAGGTAATATACTTTCAAAAATGAAGCGTCTAGAAGATTTTTCTTGTCCTCTGCTTAGTATTCTATTTAAGATTAGTCACTTTTGGAAGAGTCGTATTGTATTCAGTGTCTCGGGTTTTGGAGCGGTGTGGGGTTTTGGGTTTGTTTTGTTTTTCTTCCCTCCCAGTAGTGATTTTCGGCTTCAGAGTACCGCATACTTCCATGTTCCTAGAGGAATCCATCATTTATTTAAAATTCATTTGCAGGAACTAGTTTGTGTGTGGTTTGAAACTTGTGAACACTGACAGTGGATTTCTGTTTTTGTTTGCAGCAGGGTGAAAACACTGGACTACCAATACTGTGAGCCTTGTAACCCCTTTAAACCTCTTGTTTTTTAAAAAGGCTTGCAGAAGGAGAGCAGATCTTATCTGGTGGAGTCTTGAATAAACAGAAAAGCCATGATGACATTGTTATGGAGTTTGGTGACTCTGCATGCTTTACACTCTCCTTGCTGGGACATGTCTACTGGTAATATTGCTTTTTTTATTTTTGTCTAATAAAGGTTGAGGGTTTCCATTTGACCAAGACCAATTTTGGTCAAACGTATGTTTAGTCACCACAGGATACACCTGTCTCGGGTTATATGGCCTATACAACTTTAGAGTATGATAGATGCAGGTAGATAGATGGCTTCCACAACTAACTTGGGGAGTGCAAGAACAGTTTATCTTTCACAAAAAGCTTCTGACTGAAAACAAATTCCTCTTTTCCAGGTTGTTAAGCATGCAATCCAAGAGTTTTTGGGTTGTGGGGTTTTTTTTATACCTTTGGGTTTGTTCTGTATTCTTCCTTAAGAGATGTGCTCAAGGCCTGTTTCTCAGTGTTGCCACTTTGATTTTTCTGTATCTGTTTTCCAGATGTATATCTGTAACCTTCAAATGAAAGCTTTGAGGACTGCCAGTCAGAATAACTTTACAAATTTAAGTGGTTTGCTTTTGCTTGGATACAGGAAAGGTTTTCCGTAAATGTGAGCGGATTGAGTAGGAATAGTGGGGTTCTTGGATTCTTCCCTGGTATACCTGTTCTCAAAATAATTTATTTCAGAGGAAGCTTATCTTTGTAGTCAGGTGTTCAATTTAGCCCCTAACTTATCTATGGATAATGCTTTTGCATATATTTTAAATGGCTGGAAGGTTAGCAATTAGGTTGCTGTTTGCAAAAAAAAAAGAAAAAAGCTGTTGTGAAAAACAGTGTCTTTCTAAAACAAAAATTCTCAAGCTATACTACTGCTTATGTAACTCTTCTCAAGGACTGTCTAATTCATCTGTGTCTAAATATGTCAAATAACTTCAAAAGAACTCAATATTATTCTGTGGCTTGAAAAATGAGGACTGTTGCTGTGACTCTCAACATAGCTTTCCAGAAGAGGAGTTGAAAAAGAAAAACATCTTGAACAAAAGTGCTGTTCTTAAGTTTCCCTATAAACTGTTACATTCTTTTTGCAGCAAGACAGACCGGCTTGCCAAAGGATCAGAATGTTACCAAAAGAGCCTTAGTTTAAATCCTTTCCTCTGGTCCCCCTTTGAGTCGCTATGCGAAATAGGTAAGTCTGCAGAACTGTTTTACTAGTGAAGATGTCTTCTACGTTTATGGTTATGTCAAGCTTTCTCATTTGCCATCGTCATGTGGCAAGATTTATCTTACTCCTTGTTCAGAACTAGTAAGGAAAACGCCAGCAGAATTATTTGGGAGTGGCTTTGTGAGTAATAATGCTTTTAAAATACTTTGCCAGTGTTTAGAGCTTTTGTCTTGTTTTCTTCTATTTTCATTACTTACGCTTTTTTGGATCTAACAATACCACATGCTTTCCAACCTCCAGTTAGTAGACCCTTAGAAACTATGCTTCTGAGAATTACTTACAAGAAATAGACTTGCTTTTTTTTAAAACTGATTGTCCAGGTTTTTGTAGTGGGAAACCCCTTCTGATTTAGTGTAATGGGTTTTAAAACAATGAAATAAGAACGCACTCCTAAAATACTTTATCCCTTGTCCTCCTTGTTTCAGCTGCATATTCAGCGTGTAGACTCAGGAGTAACTATTCAAATCTCTTTCCAATCTCACAGGTGAAAAACCAGACCCTGACCAAACATTTAAGTTAACATCTTTACAGAACTTCAGCAGCTGTCTGCCTAACACTTGCACAACATTGGTGTCTAATCACAACATATCACATAGACAGCCTGAGACTGTCCTTATGGAAACGCCGCAAGACACAATTGTGAGTTTTGCTAAAATCATTGTATTTAAAGCGGACTTTCCAGGTTAACTGAAAAATGCTGCTTAGAAACTACACTGTGTGAGTATCTAACAGCTGCCGTCCTCTTTTCAGGAGCTGAACAGAATCAACCTAGAATCCTCCAACTCAAAATATTCCTCCTTGAACACGGATTCTTCTATGTCTTACATTGACTCAGCTGTAATTTCACCAGATGCTGTCCCTCTTGGGTCAGGAACTGCCATATTGTCTAAACAGGCTCAAAATAAACCAAAAACTGGGCGGAGTTTACTGGGGGGACCTGCAGCTTTGAGCCCACTAACTCCAAGGTAAGTTCCTGAGATTGACAATTTTCTGTCTACAGCTGTGCTGTTGATAATGTTTGTGATTTGAAACAGGAAAGATGTCTGGTGCTGCACAACATGTTGGAACATGCAAGTTGATAACATATTATAAATAATGCTGCAGAAGCAAAAGCTAAACAACTTCAGTAGCTGCTCTTGGTCCTAGTGTTCATCTCTTCTGTTTTTTAAACAAGCAGTTGGTATTTGATTAGAAGAGAACAACTGTGATTCAGTAATTTCCAGTGCAAAAATTGCAACAAGCAAAGTCTTTCAAGGAATATGTTTCTGCTCTGAAATAAACTTTTTTATGAAAAGCTACTCTTAAGAGCTTTCCTTGAAGAATAATAGCTCTTTGGAAGAGTGTGTGTGTGTATATCTATATATAGATATATATATAGATATATGCTCTGTCCTATACGCCATCTGATTTAAACAGTGTTACACTACAAGCCATTAATACTGGGATGGTCTGTGTCTGTTAGTTATTGTGCAGGCCTGCAAAGTTCTGTATTTTTTCAATTTCGGGAATAAGAGTGCTTTCTATTCAAGTGTCTCTTATAGATGAGGATAGTAAGGTATTAGAGGGTTAACATAAATCAATGAAGTAGTTATGGAATTAAGTTGAACATCTGGGTCTCTGTTTTGACCACAGGATTGGGCCATCTCTGTCTAACATTCAGACACTGACCCTTCTTTTTGTTCTCAGCTTTGGAATTTTGCCACTAGAAACCCCAAGCCCTGGAGATGGATCATATTTACAAAACTACACAAACTCTTCTTCTGTAATTGATGTGCCATCCACAGGAGCACCTTCAAAGAAGGTATCTTGTGTTTTAGAATGGGATTGCTGTTCTGTGTATTTGACATTGCAGTGTACTTTAAAGAGGAATCCATAACGCAGATAAAAGACATTGCATGTGAGCTGAATTGTGCTGACAGTGAGGAGAACCCAACTTACCCACTGCTCACAAAATTTCTTTGGAAAAACAATTTGTCTGAGTGTGAAACTGATTGATTGCAGCCACGTTTAGTTTTGGATATAGTTTGGGTTAATTGAGAATGAAATTTATGTGTAATTTGTCTAAAAAATGTCAGTCTTTTAAGGAAAAAACCCCCAAACCTGCTCTTATTGACAATTATCTAATGCTGCGAAATAATACTGTTTGCCAGCTCATATATATCTATAGGCTAGTGAGGTTGGGTGGTAAGGGGAGCAGTTAAATTCGGCTACAACTGGTCGGGTATTTCCCTGACAAAACTTTTTGGACTTTTCTGAAGTGTTAGTTAAAACAAAATTCATTGTTGCATAGTCTGTTACATTGAAACAACTGTTTCTAAAACCTCAATAGTGCTTTATTTTGAAAATCTTCTTTTCAGCTAAGCAAATGAAGCAGCAAGAGAGAAATATGCCGTATCTCAAGTAAAGATATCTGTTATAAATGTTTTCAGCTTATCGTGTCACTTTCTTTGGCTAGCAAAACAGATTTTTGTTTTCTCAACTTCTATAATGATAAGCCATAGTCTTTCTAATTAAAACGAGCGCCTTTCTCCCACCCCACCCCCCCAGCCCCCCCCGAAGTGCACAGGCACGTGCAGACTGCCCAGCTGGTGTTGCTAGAGGTAACCTGAGGAAGGTGCTGTATCTTTTGCCCACCTGCCATCAGAGAGGAATGATGATTGTAAACAGCTAAGGATTCATAACTTTTCAGTGTGCAAGGTGGAGTCTGAAGACAGTCCAAACTTGGAGTTTTTACTCTACTTTTTTTTAATTAATGGCTTTTCAGGGATGACTTCAAATAATCATGGAAGCCTTAAGTGAGCTGAAGCTACTGCTTTCTCGCAAGCTATTCTTGAAGTCTAGTTTATAGACCAGAGTAATCAAAGTACTGCTGGTCGTATGTGGAGGGCTGACTGATAGAAGGGTACTGTTTCACTCAGCCAAGTCTTGTGTAGAGGAAACTAAAAATTGTCTCTCTTTACTCAGTAAGAAACTGGCATAGTTGCCATAGTGATAAATGGGAGGTGGAACGTTGATGACAGTTGAAGAACCATTTGTTCCTTTCTAAAAACAAAAAACCTGAGGATTCTTCCTTGTATTTTTAGTAAATCTAGAAGTGCGTGAGGGATGCTAGTGTTTTATAGATGGCCAACTCTTTAAAGCTTAGTGCAAGTAAGTGTTGAATTCTTCCAAAAGTAGAACTTGAATTTCCACATTGGAGGCTCTGAACAAATCAGTTGGTGCTCAACTTGCTGTACCATTCAGCAAGTGAAATTTGGAAGCTCTTAAAAACTGCATTTGTCTTCTTATTGGCCCAGCATTTAAAAGAATAAAAGCCAGTAAGCACATAACTTTTTTTTTTTTAATCTTTGGATGTTCTTCTGAATCCTGTGACTGGGGACTCGAATCTCACTGCACGAGCCATTATGGTATCCTATCTCTAGGTGTCTCATTACTGCAACACTTTCTGTCAGTTCTTAGTCCTGCCCCCCCCGCATACTTTGTTCTGTTGAGGCTGGACTGTGCTAAAACACTCTGCTAGAATTGTTTTGTGTGGTTCATCCAGTTCCCATCCCATAGTTGCTCAGGATCAACCAGTTTTTGATGGTACAGTGGAAGGCACTGGCTTATGGTGGATTGTACGTAGGTAGGAAGGTAAATTGTCATGAGTCTGAAAAATGGAAATAGTTAGCAAAGTGCAGTTCTTCAGTGTAATACTCATCTGCGTTTAATCTCACCTATTCTATGTGATAGGTGAAAAGCTTTGGGGAATCAAGTCATAGTTGCTGCTGCTTTGTTGCTTTGCTAGGTATGGCACTACAGCACCAAGATCTAAATTTGGCTAATCCATGCATGTGCCTTCTGCCCAGATGCATCTGTGCTACTACCTAAACACAAATATCTAATACATTTTAATAAACAGCTTAGAGTTCTGATGCATGCTTTGTCCAGTGCAAATCACTACTTGGCCGGTTTCACTTCTGCTCTTCAAATTACTGACTTAGAAAAGGCTTAGTGTAGCTGTGGCTAGAATGTGCATGACTTAACGGAGGCAGTTTCCTAGGAAACACTTACGTAAATGAATGAAACATTAGGATGGATCCAAAGGCTTCCTATCTGAGTGGGCAAGCATGCTTGCTGGCCGCCTAAACTGTCCTCTGATAACAAAGAAACCGAGAAGGGAAGGACAAAACATTGGAAGTCAGATAACGCCTCAACTGGTGTTGCTTGTGCTGTCATTGATCCCACTTGCCGATTTCTGGTGTCTTAAAAGAAAATCTCTTCCAAACGGCCATCACCAAGTTGAATGTTAGTGTCCCTGGGGTGGGCAGAAAGATGGGGTTTAAGCTTTCTTTGACAGGCAGGGAGGGGAGGAGCTGTTCTGAATCCTTTATAGGAAGTCTACGCATCAGACAATGAATTTCTGTCTGAACTTGTTCCTTAGGTCTCAGGTTCACAGTCACGTTATCACAGCTTTAAGTTCCCACACCTCAGCTGTGCCAGGGTAGGCATCAACGTGCGCATTTTAGTTCACTGAAGATGTGTGAAGATGCAAGACAACGTTCTGGTGCTAAGTCATATTACGTGCTTGTAACCTGTGGCAAATGAAACCCGCAAAAAATGTGTGTGTGCACCCAAAGCATTTAGTCAACTGACATGCAGTAACTTGCTGCTCCGCGTTAACTTGAGTGTAGGTTTCTGTCTATTAACTTTCTGTGCTGCATAGTGCAGATCCCTTTTTGATGAAGCAGTTTATTTCTGTATGTGTTCCAAAGGCTTGTGCAGTAATGATTTAATTTGTAAAATACTGATTTATGCTATGAATGGTATGCTAACCAGGAGAGCGGCAGGCTCAGATGTTGCACAGTGTGCACTTCATTGAGGTGTTAATAGTGAATGGCTTCTGGATGTGATTGTACTGTAATTCAAAAATCTTTCTCTTTCCATGTTTTTTTCTGTACAACTTTCTGCGGAGAAAGAAATATGACGTCTTTTAGTTCCCTTTTATTCTTCCACAAACATCTTAACATAGTTTCTTGCCACTAGGTGGAGATTTCATATCTTTCAAATAATGTGCATAAAGTTGGTACACTCAGTGTTACTGGCATTTTAACAGGTAGAACGAGAAATACTTTTGATGTTTGCTCTTGGGATGGGGGGAACCCTCACCCTTTATTGAAAAAAAATCTGTATTTATCCTCTTGTGCAGGGTTTGATAGGCAGAATGGATTTGCTTTCATATAGCGGAGATTGAGACTTCTTGGTGGCATAATAACAAACCTGTAGAAACTTTGTGTTATGCAGACTGTCAGCAGGATGAGCCAAGCTGGAACAAAGTCTGTCTTCTCACAGAGTGGAAATAGCCGGGAAGTCACTCCAATTCTTGTTGCACAAACGCAGAGCTCTGGCCCACAGACAAGGTAGGGGGGGAAAAAAACCATTATCTTGATATTACCTTTTGCATCTCCTTTCTTGAAGGAATTTGACGCTGTATTTTCCCCAACTTGTGTGGACGTTCCTGCAGAATTCCTCTTTGGATGAGGAAGAAGTGTATTTTTTTTCTTAGGTAAAATAACTACTCCAGTGTATAAGTAGGAGGCTCGTGCATGGTGGTTGGTCTGTTTGTTTTAAATCTCCTTTGCAGTTAGACCATTTCATCAGTAAATGAAAAAGTAGCTGGAAGGAAATTCTGCTCATGTTCTTGACATTCAACAGGTAGATTTGGGTTTTTTTATCCCTTGAAATGTGAATATCTGTGCTATAGTACTTGAGCTTTTTTGTTTAAAAGATGAAAGCTGTTTTTATGAAAAGACTGAGTGAAGAACTTTATTTTTTTAATGTGCCGTTTGTTTTCAGTACAACACCTCAGGTATTGAGCCCCACAATTGCTACTCCACCAAATGCACTGCCTCGAAGAAGCTCTCGCCTGTTTACTAGTGATAGCTCTACAACAAAGGTAACAAACTTCATGCATTTTGCAAACTTGTGGGTCTCTTGCCCATGCCACCGTACTGACTAATAATTTCCCCATATGCGTAGCAATTCTAACAGCTTAAGAACAGGTTCTATAATAAGCAGAACTTATGAAATATCTGGCTGTACAAAAAACATGTCATGATGCCATAATAAGTTATTTTTTTTAAGCTCTCAAGCACTTAACTAAAATAGTAGGAAGAAGAATATGATGAACAAAAACCAAGATAGATGCTGGGTTGACAAATGCAGTGGTGCTGCTAGCTGTCAACCTATTTAAAAAGAGGTGGTGGCGCTCAGATATATTTATTGAAGAATTCATTTTCAACAGATACACTTTTTTTGGCAATACAAAGTTATTTTCATATCTGTTTTCTGCTCTTCAAACAATGGAGCAAAACACCAACGTGCAAATACTCAGACTGTAGTTAGGTGATGTGAATGTTTGCCGTTTAAAGATGAGCTGCTAAACATTCATGAAGTTAATAGGTGCCTATATACCTGTGTTTAAAAGTCAGACGGCTGAGCATGGTTGTTAAAGGTGCAAAGAGGTGTAAATATTACTTTACACAATTCACTTTCAAGTTTAGTTTTCTGAATTTAACAGACTTTTCTTATATGTAACTCTTACTCTTCTTACTTGCAGGAAAATAGCAAAAAATTAAAAATGAAGTTTCCACCTAAGATTCCAAACAGAAAAACGAAAAGTAAAACAAATAAGGGAGGAATAACTCAACCAAACTTGAATGACAGTTTGGAAATTACCAAACTGGACTCTTCCATCATTTCAGAAGGGAAAATTTCCACTGTTGCACCACAGATCCAGGCTTTTACGCTACAGAAGGCAGCAGCAGGTCTGTTTGAATGCTATTGGACTCTACTAGAGTAAAACTTTAGTATATGTATGTTTAAGGATGAATGATGGGAAAAAAATGTGTTGCTCCAGTGTTTGCTTCTTTCTTGTTTCAGGTAGCCTGCAGCTATTACCTTTGTATAACTATAAAAACTGATTGAATTCAGTATGTTCTAGTTAACTTACAAAGAACATGTGAAGTATTCAAAGTGACTACTTGTAAGCAGATATATCTTGCGAGTGCTGATCCTTATTAATGATTAAAATATTTTCAGGCAAGTTCCTTGGAAACTGATTCAAAGGAGCTATGAGTAACCCAGTCATCTTCTCTCAAAATCAGGTTTATGTAGTCTGTTCTCCCTTCATATTTCGCACTTGTTTTTAAACAAGTCTGTATTCAGGTTGTCAGAAAATCCTAGACAAACTGCTGAATTCCTCTCTTTTGGCTCAATAATGTTTCCAGGCAGCAAGAAGATGTATCCATGGATACCAGACATGTGGAAACTGTGTTGAGACCTAACAAAGTGTTTGAATAGCTGCTGTAAATGCGGAACTCCAGTTGCCCTGAACTGCAGAGTTTCTGTACCTGAGTATTCTGTTGTTGGCTTAAAAGTCGTTGGTATCTGACTTCCATTACAGAGGTTGATATTTAGAATATTATGCCTAAGTTAAGAGTGTATAAGCCTGTGTTTGGGAACTCCTGAAAGATTTTCCTAGGTGAATTCAGGAGAAGTGGCCTGCCACAATGAAAAGCTTATGGGATTAGTAGTTTTGAGTAAATAAGTCCTAGCTGTCTTTTTCCACTTTGACTTACTGTATTTTTCTCCTAGAAGGTTTGATGAGCCTTCTTCGTGACATGGGGAAAGGTTACTTAGCCTTGTGTTCATACAACTGCAAAGAAGCGATAAATATTTTAAGCCATCTACCTTCCCACCACTACAACACTGGCTGGGTGCTGTGCCAAATTGGGCGAGCTTACTTTGAACTTGCAGAATATATGCAGGTAGGAATGGTGTGCGTTGGTTCTTACTCTTTTCACTTTTGTTTTGTGTAGCTTTGCACAAAACCTGCAGATTTCCTGCAAAAGCTATGGGAAGTTTACAGTTGAGATAATTGTCTAAGTGTAAGTTATACCTGGAATGGATGTAGATCTTGACTCTGGATCAGTAGTCATTGAGATTTCCTGAAGAAGCTGAGTTACACTTTGGATTTCTTTTTAATGTTATTTCCTCTTGCATCCAGCCATTGGGGTCTCCTTGCCTCTCCCCCTCTTCACCCACAGCTGTGCTGATGTAATTGTTTGTACTGCAATGTTGTAAATCAAATCACTGGAACAATTAGAGTTCTAAACCCGAAAACTTCTCTTGCCCTTTTCTAGTTAATGCAGATCACATCAGTGACCTAGTTTCCTTTGCAGCCTCAGAAATGACAGCATTGGCACAGCTGAGGTGATGTCAAACTGCTTCAGGAACACAAGTGAGCAGTTTAGGGTAATCCAGCAGTTTAACTCTCTCCTTGTCACTGTCCTGATAGCTGGTGTGCCCATTTCCTCAGATCTTAAAACACTTTTTGACAGGCTGCGTACAGGAGACAAATGTAGTAGGGTCAAGAAGCGGTTTTTAAACCGTACACACAGTGTGATTAGAGATGGAGCACGCTGTGCTTCTTAATAGTCTATTTTGAATACTGAGGCTACAGGCCCTGTTGGTTTCCTAAAGCTGGGCTTCTTCCCTTGTGCTGCCTCGAGTGTTGTAACCTGGAACTTAAGTTTATGAAATAGATACCTATGTCAGAAACACTTCTTTAGTCAACTGTTGATAAGAATCATAGCTGTCTCAAATGAAAGTAAAGCACACGTATAAGCATGTGACAACACATACATCCCCCCATCCCTGCATCAGCAGTGTTTGCTGCAGTGATTGTCATACTGCCTTTTGCCTTGTAATTATTATGCACAACATCTGGAGGGGTGTAGCACTCAGTGCTTTGTACCTGTCATCTGTTAGGATGGCTAATAATCATAACTGGCCTATAAACGTAGGCTACAACTTTCTGATTTTGCGGATAACTGATTTTTTGCCTTGCTTGTGGGCCATGATGAGACGGTACTGTAGCCTGAGCCAGCAGTAGGGACGGCTGGCTGCATTTCTGTGGGCATAACTGTATTGGGGTACAGTCCCTTCCTTTGCTTGAAGGGGAAGTTATGGGACTTGTAGCTCTGTGTAGTACACTACAAAGCAAAGAGGATGCTTCGTCTGGACATATGAGGCTTCTAACCTTGACCTGTGTGCTCTGCTTTGGTGGGTGGAATTTTGTTTTAAGTTTAATTTCTGTTCTTAGGCAGAGAGAATATTTTCAGAAGTAAGAAGGATTGAAAACTACAGAGTAGAAGGCATGGAGATCTATTCGACTACGCTGTGGCATCTGCAGAAAGATGTTGCGCTCTCGGTTCTTTCGAAGGATTTGACCGACATGGATAAAAACTCACCGGAGGTATTAAATGCTGTGGTCTTGAATGAGAAAAAGGGTAACTGTATGTGGCAAAATCGATGATTCAGAGCAAAGCTTTGTGCTCTAGTCTAGTTCAAGTGTATTCTCCTGTGAGAACTGCAAGGCAAAACTGGAGAGGGAGGTGGCAGGACTGTCTGTGGAACTGATGATGCCTGAAATGGCTTCTTAGAATTAGAATATCAGCTTACATGGAACAGGTTGAAACCTTTTATCTGTTAATGGTTACTTGAATTTGCATTGGCACCATTCATCCAGGAAGATCACGGGTTAGTCAGTCACTTCTGCTGCTGCCAGTATGCAAAGATAAGGAATATCTCTTTCCTGTACCACCTTTTAATTGCTGTAGCTAATTCACTGGCACTTAAAATCTATTTGCTCTAGAACTTATTTTCAGACATAATGTTGCACACTTTTATGCCGAAGTCCATTAAACTGCAGAGTGTATGGTAACATAAAGTGATGATATGCAAAAAGCCAGGCATCTTTTAATGGGTGCCACAGGAAAAGTAAGAGAAGTATGCGTTTATAAATGTGTTCTTAAGAGTTGAAAACTGTAGATTATATTGGAATTTTTTTGTTGTTGGGGGAAAGAATCCTGTTCATGTTGTCTTGTTTGTCTGTCTAATAGTGGGGAAAAATCAAAACCAATGAAGCAGTTGGTAGTTGTGGAGAGAAGAAAATGCAGATTCTAATACAAGGAGTAGAGAGCAGTTGTGCCATTTGGCAGAGATGCTAAAAATTTGGGAAAGCAAAGGCACGCCCCCAGCCACTGCTAAAATTGTTGCTCTGCAGACTTCCAGATTTGTCAGTTGGAGGCAACTGAAGAGTGGAAGTGAATGTCCTGTCTCCTCCTTCATTATTCTTAAATATCTAAGATGTTTTGGTTTTAGCCCTTTCAACAGCTTCAAAAGCTTTATCCATTAGTCATCAAAGTATCTAATTGGCACAAACTTGTTGGGTGTCCTTAGATTCTCGATTTCTGTTTTTCAGCTTGTGTAGCTACAAGGTGTATTTAGGCCTAGCTGCCTCTCAGGAATGAGACTTAACTAACTGTTGTTTTATTAACATTGTTATATAAACTTCCCCCAGATTAAAATATAATTATGTAAATCAGTATGGAAAAAATCTGTTCAGCTCAAACTTAGTCACTCCGAGTTGTAAAAAGTGTGCTGACTTTGACATGCTGTTTTTACTAGGCATGGTGTGCTGCAGGAAACTGTTTCAGCTTGCAACGAGAGCATGACATTGCAATCAAGTTCTTCCAGAGAGCCATTCAAGTTGATCCAAACTATGCTTATGCCTACACCCTGTTGGGGCATGAATTTGTGTTAACAGAAGAACTCGACAAAGCATTGGCTTGTTTTAGAAATGCAATCAGAGTCAACCCTAGACACTATAATGCATGGTAAGTCTTGCTTCATCCTCCTGCTATCGCATGTGATACAGAACTCCTTTTGGAGAAATACCTTCTGGATGCTGCCACTGCTATCACTTCCCTACCGCTCTGCGGTCTAAGAAGAGAGCAAAGTTATTTCCGCAGAAGATGCGGGCCTCATCTGTTTATTATAAACAGTTACTTCCACTAGGAGAGCAAAAAATGGGAGCTTTTTTGGTTTCCACACATCATCTTGGCTTTATTGCCCCAGCTGTTCTGTTCTCTGCAGCGCTCCTCATGCATCTAGTTGATTGTTCTTCAGTTGCAATTGGAGAGATGAGAGGTCTGCCCCTTTATACCTTAGGATATAGCCAGTTTCTTACACTAGCAGATCTAGCTTTTACTGCTTTATATGTGGTTTTCCACAGAAAAAGCTGTAAGTCACTTAGTCTTGAGAAACTTTTGTATGCTTTTTACTTTGTAGCCGTTTAATCAGTCTTCCCGTGTATTGGATATCAATTCTTCAAACTACCCAATTGAGGGAAAAAAAAAAAGATAATTTTAGACATAACTTTTCCCCGTCAGAAATGGCTTCCCACCCTGGATGGGGTTGCCAAGTCTATAAACTGTTTCTGCCAGGTCATAGTCACTGACAAAGGCTGGTTTGATTGGAGTACAGTCTTACTTAACAGAATTGTTTTTCTGCTTGCAGGTATGGGTTGGGAATGATTTATTACAAACAGGAAAAATTCAGTCTAGCAGAAATGCATTTCCAGAAAGCGCTTGATATCAATCCTCAAAGCTCAGTCTTACTGTGCCACATTGGAGTAGTAAGTAGATTGCACTTAATTCTATCCTTGTTTTATCCTTCTGTAATTTTTACAGTAGAAAAGTAATTCTGAACACTTTTAGCAAAAAAAAAAAAAAAACCAAAAACAAACCAACAGGTTTGGAGTACCTATAGGAGGATCTTAATGCCATATGAATGAATAATCACAGGATTCATTTAGAAACCTTTTCTCTCTCTCCAAACTACTTTTATCCAGTAATTAAATTATAATATTGGGTCATGTTTGTGTGTCAGACAAAATAATAGTGATATGAAAATCAAGACTGCGTGCCGATGTTAATGTGAACAGAGTATTTATAGGGGGTTTTGTATACATAAGAAATTAAGTGGTTTTTAACTGCTGCTGCATGCACTTGGACCAGCACTCCCAGGTCTAGAAAGTGCTAACCTGTCTCACCTTTCAGAGGGCAATATTTTTGCCCTGGCTGTGTGTTGACACTGCCCTCACTCCAATCATTTGTAGATGTGACAACCCACTACTTCGGCCACTTTATGCCAAGTGAAGTTTAAGTAGTGGTTTAAGAAGTTTAAGCTACTCCAGTCGTTCAGTTAAATTTACTGGGCTGTTTGAAAAGTTGGTCACTTATCCATCTGCGGTCCTTAGAAAACGGTAGCCTTGCTCTAGCAAATGCTTGCTTATGAAGTTGGGAAGCAGTTCTCAGATAGTCATGATGGTGACTGAAGGCTGCGTAAGTGTGAGGGATCGTTACCTGCTGGCATTCATCTGCCTTCTGTGTGGTAACAAAGCTGTAGCGAATGCTACAGGGCTAGTGGCTGCTTCTCACTTACATACAGAGAAAGGCTTGAGTTTGCTTCTGGCCAAAGGTTAAAGACTTTCTGTAAGCCGTTGGGTGGGGAGAACATTGAGGTGGAGACGAGGCAAGGTGAAGTTTTGTTCCTGTAAGAAAGCTTGTTAAGACTTGGTCTAGAATTGGACAAATATTTTTTTTAAAGGAACAGATTGTAAGTAAATATAGTCAAATGGATTTGTCCTTGTCTGGCAGATGAGCTGTTATTTTCCCTTTTAAAATTGTTCTGTCTTTCTGTAATAGGTCCAGCACGCACTGAAAAAATCTGAAAAGGCTTTGGATACTTTAAACAAAGCTATTAACATTGACCCCAAGAACCCGCTATGCAAATTCCATAGAGCTTCTGTATTATTTGCAAATGAAAAATACAAGGTAAGATTTGGTGCATGTAGACAACTTTAAATTATCTTTAAATTGCTGTAGCTAGGAATGAGGATGCACTGGAAATGTTTACAGATTAACACTGGGTAGCATCAGGGCTTGCAGGAAGAGCCTGGGACGTTGGCCTGTCTTGTAGAGGCTGATATGAAGCATTTGCTTCAACAAGTGCCACCTTTGCCAAGAGAACTCTGTTAAATCTGGGGCTAACAGGTGATGCTTTTTAAAATATTCAGGTCTGACCCTGGGGGAAAAAAAGGGAAGAAGGAGAAATTATTGCAGCTGTCACTGACATGTGGCTGCATTATGAGTTTATACTAAATTACTTAAAAAAAAAAAAAAAAAAAAAGCTCAGCGAACTGCCCCATAACCAATTACAGCAATAAGAAATAAGAACAGCTGTTTCAAAGGCTGTCTTGTTGTGGTGGGTTGACCCTGGCTGGATGTCAGGTGCCCACCAAAGCTGCTCTCTGCCTTTCCCTTCTCAGCTGGATGAGGGAGAGAAAATATAACTAAAGACTTGTGGGTCGAGATAAGGGCAGGGAGATCACTCGGCAACTACTGTCAAGGGCAAACCAGACTTGACTTAGGGAAATTAATTTAGTTTATTGCCAATTAGAAGTCAGAGTGAGGTAATGAGAAAATAAAACTGAAGCCTTCCCCCCGACCCCTCCCTTCTTCCCAGGCTCAACTTCACTCCCCATTTCTCTCTGCTCCCCCCAAGCGGTGCAGGGGGACAGGGAATGGGGGTCGTGGTCAGTTCATCACACCTGGTCTCAGCTGCTCCTTCCTCCTCAGGGGGAGCACTCCTCACCCTCTTCCCCTGCTCCAGTATGGAGTCCCTCCCACAAGAGAAAGTCCTCCATGAACTTCTCCAACGTGGGTCCTTCCCACGGGCTGCGGTTCTTCATGAACTGTTCCAGTGTGGGTCCCTCCAGGGGGGTGCAGCCCTTCAGGAACACACTGCTCCAGTGTGGGTCCCCTGCAGGGTCACAAGTCCTGCCAGCAAAGCTGCTCCAGCGTGGGTTCCTCTCTCCACGGGGCCATAGGTCCTGCCAGGAGCCTGCTCCAGTGTGGGCTTTCCATGGGGTCACAGCCTCCTTTGGGCATACCCCTGCTCTGGTGTGGGGTCCTTACTGGGCTGCAGATGGGTATCTGCTCCACTGTGGACCTCCATGGGGTGCAGGGGGACAGCCTGCCTCACCATGGTCTTCACCACGAGCTGCAAGGGAATGTCTGCTCCAGTGCCTGGAGCACTTCCTCCCCTTCTTCACTGACCTTGGTGTCTGCAGAATTGTTGTTCTCACTCCTCATTCTGTACAGTTGGTTTTTTTTTCCCTTCCTTAAATATGTTATCCCAGAGGTGCTACCACCATTGCTGGTGGGCTTGGTCTTGGCCAGCAGCAGGTCCATCTTGGAGCCAGTTGGCATTGGCTCTGTCTGGGACCTTCTTACGGAAGCCGCCCCTGTAGCCCTGCTGCTACCAAAACCTTGCCACGCAATAAGAAGCCAAGCAGTTTTGGTCTGATCCCCTGCTGACCTCTACCCTGTTTAGAATGAGTTTAGATTTTCCCACAGTCTCACTTTCCAGTGACTGTTGTCCTCTGGCCTGTTTTTTTTGGCTGCAGAAGACAAGCCACAGTCTCGTCTTTGAAACCCTGCTTCGGAAATGTGTGTGCGCGTGTAAAGGCAAAACTTTACTTTGAACTTTTTTCTTTGAAAACTCATAACTGAACCGATTAAATATAAAATGTGTTAAGATTAAGGACTTAATGAAGTGCTCATTCATATGTTGGTTTTAAAATTTAAAAGCAGATGATAAATACAAGACGGGGGAAAAAAATAAATTGAATGGTCTATCTTATTGTCCCTGTGCTAGTGAAGGAACTTGTTGACCATGGTGAAGTGATGCTTTAGGAAACAAAACATTTGGACTCTATCAGGCTGGACTTGTAACATGAAAGCTACAGTTTTCACATAAACTACGTAAAACTTAATGAAATGTTCTGGTTTTTAGCACCAGTACTAAGAGAATTGTAATAGTGTGATAAATTTGGGTAGTGTTAGGTAAACAAATGTAGATTTACACTTCCATTTATGTCGCAAGTCATAACTTGAAATTGTGTTCACATGAATAAGTTTTAGAGAGTTGAATGGAACTTTTTATAACTAAAACCAATGCATATTTCTAACTGCAGACTAAATATTTTTAGGTAGAATTTCTTAATAATGCCAGGTTACTGTCACAGCAGAATAAGTTGCTAATTGTGTCAACAGTTAGTTTAAAAGCAAAGTAGAAGTTTCACTAAATACTTTGGACTTCAAATTCCTCATATAAACACAGTTGTCATTTGTAGAAGTCCACATATGCATATCTAAAACCAGAAACTTTCAAAAGCATAGGCTTGAGAGCAGTACATCCAGCACAAAATACATCAATATTTGTTTTCAGAAGCTCATACTAAAGGAAGTGCCCACTGTAAACACACTGTCGGCTTGTCTTCTACCCTGTTATGCCTTGTTGGGGGCAAAGGGAGCATTTTGTGTCACTTAGATGTGTCGTAGGAGACCAAAGCCCAAGAAACTTGCTCCATTTCTGTAATAATGGGGATATAATATGCTACAATCTTTAAATGAGAAACTAATGTAAAAGGAATTTTAGATGCTTCTCATGAGACTGTGCTATTGTTATTGATGGAATAGACTATGTAAGCACCAGAAGTTTTTTTTTTGCTTCACATTAGTGCTAAATCATAGTTTAGTGATGGTATAACTGGTTGCATGCTGCTACCTTATACTTACTAAGCTCTTTTTTCTTCCTTTTAGTCTGCTTTACAAGAACTTGAAGAACTGAAACAGATTGTTCCCAAAGAGTCTCTTGTTTACTTTTTAATAGGAAAGGTAGGTAAAACTTAACTGTGATCATAAGTCCTTTGGTTTCCCTTGTTGCTGAAATCTACGCCTAATGAGAAAATTTCCCTGTCACTAAGCTGCTTCCATTTGGAGCAGTATTCTAAAAATTCCTAAAGCTTTAAATAAGGCTTACTGCTAACAGTTTTATTATGTATTGGTTTTTAAATGCAAAAGACAGTTACTACTGGAGCGTTTTTCATCTCTCTTTAAAACATACCAAGAAAAAAAATAACCCAACCCAGTGTTGTTCTTTGCCTGCTTAGATTTCACCACTGTCAACTTGAAAGATAACTGATTTTAAAAAAATGAATTGGTCCTGATAAAGATACTTCACTGGAAAGAGATACAGTGGTTATGCACACAGACGTAATCTTTCCCTGAAAGTGGAACTCTTATCAAGACTTGATTCAATACGATAGCAATGATGTGATCAACGGAGATCCTTAAAGTTTTGAGAGATAGTCCATCCGTCAGTGGCAGTGTTGGTTATTTGTGCATGTGGCTATTAAAATGTTGGGTCACATTCTAATGCGTTGTATCGGAAATGCTGAACAAAGAGTAATTGTAGAATGCTCCTAAGTTTCCATCAATAACCTCAATGTCCTTTTCAGCTGACAGCCTGCCCGAAAGAGTTGTAGGTTATCAGTTCAAAAGAAAGAGGAATCTTTAACGAGGCTAATAAGAGCAGGGTAGTACAGGAAAAGATACTACTGGTTTGTCGGCTGTGTTTACGTTCCACCCTTCTTTGTGTTTAATGCCAGAGAAAAGTAACCTAGTAATAGGAATCCTCCTTCCTCACCATCTTCTCTGCTAATATGTTGCAAATAAGTTCTGTGGTTTTCTTCTTCTGTGGGGTGTCTGTTCAATAGGAGGCAACAAGACAAACTTCCCTCTAGTGCAGTCCTCTTAATCGGCAAGATTTCTTTTTTTATTATTATTATTTTTTTAAGCTGGAGAGAGGTAGAAGGATTTGTGCTGAAATCTGTTGACTGGTGTTTGTCCAGGAGTAGCTGGACCTCTAAACTGACATTGGGGTTGCCATGTCTTGACAAATTTAAGTACTTCACTTGAGCAAGGAATTTATCTGTGTTAATCTGTCCTTAACAATAAGGAGAGCTTCAGTGCAAGTTATGGTGACGAAGAAGGTAAAATATGGACTGGATTCTGCAGAGCAGTCTCGTCTTGAAAATGTTGCTGTTCAGTTTAGCAGGACAAACTGGGTGTCACTTAATGTCCCGTTATTTTCTCTGCCTGCCAACGGCAAACTGCCCCTTGAGGATGTAAGAAAGGCTGTGCTGAGCCACATCGGAAAACCTGTCTAACCGTGTATCCTGCCGTTGCTAGTCCTCGATATGGGGCTCATAGGGATGAGCATAAGATTGTATGCCTGTGGTGATACTACCCTGAACTATTCTCTGGGCCTCTGACATCAGAATTCTGAGACTTTGGGCCTTTCCTGAGCCACAGGTAGATTTGGGGTAACAATGACTCAAATGGAAAGGGTGATGAGCGGGTAAGACAAAATACGTACGCTAATAGCTTATACACCACCCTGCTGCAGAGCTCCAAAGCTTAAATTTATATCTGAGGATCCACCTACTTATGTTTTTGAATCTGTCACCTCCTAGTTTAGTTTAATTTTTTGGAGACTTAAATAGAAGCGCTTCATTGCTCTTTGTACACATATTTGCTGTTTTACTTGGAACTCGTATAATAAATCTGTTGTATCTACCCTCTGTTGCCTTTCATAAAATCTCAGTTAACTGTGGCTTGGCATGTTTGTTGTCCAAACCTTCAAGTAGCAACTTCATGTAAATGTAGCATTTTGTGCTTTTGTTTTAGGTTTATAAAAAACTGGGTCAAACACATTTGGCCCTAATGAATTTCTCATGGGCAATGGACTTAGATCCCAAAGGAGCCAATAACCAGATTAAAGAGGCCATTGATAAACGTTACCTTCCAGATGATGAGGAACCAATAACTCAAGAAGAACAAATCAGTGAATGTTACCCTTATGAATCAGGTTTGTATTTCCAACCCTTTGTCATTCAAGGAGATATTTCCACTTAGGTGGTAGGAAGAATCCCAGGTTTAATAAGTGAAACACTGCTCAACCTCGCTGCTCAGCAAGCAAGAACTCCAGAGGCTCGTCATTCAGAAGAATTCGTTAATGATTCCTACACTAAACATGAAATAAAGGATTGTGGCATTTGTTTAGAATCTGTAGATGGAGTAGGACAGAGATAATGATGACTGTAAATTCATACAAGTTGTGGTTGGCTAATAGTGTCCCAGGAGAGCAAGATGTTCCCAGAGCCGCAAATCTTCCCTCATAGAAGCATCAAATCATGTCAAGGTGACTGAATGGCAACTGAGGCTTTGTCAAAAGTTACACAAATTGGGTCTGCTATTTGACTATTTGGTCTGCTAAACATAAAATAGCTTTTGACAAAAGTCATGGGAGTGGTTTCATTTGACTCAAGAGAAAATAAAACACTTCTGTTACACTGCTTGGGAATAATCCACCAAAAGGAATGGCCTGGGTTTCTCTTCTCTCTCACTTCTTATTATGAGATTAAATTCCATGAAGGGTGGGCAGCTCTAAAGCAAGGGTAGTAGTAAATACTGACCCCCTTAATGCAGCCCGAAATGGGGATAGAAAATGAATACTAACAAGCAATTTCATTCTTTTCCTCCAAAGAAGAAAATATAACAGGTTTTGGATTCTTATTAATAGATGTATGTTATGTTCTGCAATTCTAAATCTTCAACTGAAAAACTTGTAACGTTTTCCTACTGTGTATTGTGTTGATTTTCATTGATCTGGTGTACAGTGTGCTTTTTACTGGAAACTTGTCCTGCACTGCACTTCCTGAACTGTCAAGAGTGTTTCTCTCCCTGCAATTGCGGTTGGGTGAATGAACATAGAGCACTGCCTCACTGGGGGCTGAGTGTGTTTCTGGCCAGAAGATGGAGACAGAGTACTTGAACTGCTGAGTGACACCTAAACAGTACCAAAAGAAGAAAAAAAGCAAACCCACACATCAAAATTAAAAAAAAAAAAAAAAAAAAAACAAAACTCCCACAACACCCAAAATGAACCCAAAAATGAAAAAAACCCGCCACCTTAATCTCTTCAATAAACAAACCAATTCACTTTCCCTGGCTGTGCAGGTAAATTGTAGAAGAGTGTCTCAGCTGAACAACTCTTTTAGGACACATGAGCCAAGCTCAAGTAAACGAAGGTGGCACTGGGGCTGGGAGCCGTTTTTAATACATTGGCTAGCGTAAGCCTTGCCCTGCGTGACACTGCCGGGCACGGGACTGGCTGTGGCCCCTGTACAGAAACCTGTAAAGGGATTGCACTAGAGCAATAAAAGGCATCGGTGTTTCTCCACGTGAAACAACGTGGGTATTACAACTAATATCCTATTACAACGTGGGTATTACAACATGGGAATTTACAACTAATATCTTAAATCCTACTATGGAAAGCAGACTCGAGTTGCTTTCCTCTGTGTGAGAAACACCCATCATTAGATGTTTACCTTCATTCTAACTTTAACAGGTATAGAAGTTAAATATTTAAGGATAGCCTCTCAGCATGCGCGCATTTATCTCTCGCGCTGTGCAGGGCGTGCTGCCTTTATTCAGATAGCAGCAGAGATCCCCTTTTCCTGGAAACGCTGCGCTAGCCGGCGTCTGAGCTGAGCGAGCAGAGGAATTCCTCAGCGTCAGAACTGTGTTGTATGTGTTTCCTCGAAGCAGTTCTCTTACTGTGTATCTTACGCAGTATTCTGTCACGGAAGCAGGGAGCAAGTAGAGGCTGCCCAACGCTGCTAATTGAATATTATTTGATTGTAAATGGAGTGGTCGCAATGCACTAATGCAGTGGGTAACCGATGTGAGCGTTTCAGGCAGCTGGTGCGTTTAGACGGAGTGGAAAGGTTAAACTGCTCCTGAGGCAATTTTGGAGCCCTCTGTACCCATCCCTACCTAATGAGGTGTCAGATTCCAGCTTATTAACAGAACCACGTACTTTGTGTTAATTCCTTTCTATAGACTTCATTAAGCTGGCAGGGGTCAGTGTATTAGGAGGAAAAAAGGAAAAGCTGTATGGCTTCAAAGCATTTTGAGGGGAAGCCCAAACCTGCTGCTACTGTGCTTTTTGACGTTCTGGAGTTGATTGTGGGGGAATCTTTGCCGTGAAGCGGCCCAGTAGTGTTTGACTACTCTGTCTTTCTTTTTCTTTCAAGTTGGCACAGACGAATCCCAAGAGAGCAGCATGACAGATGCAGATGACACACAGCTCCACGCAGTTGAAAGTGATGAATTTTAACCTCCAAAAGCCAGTATCTGAGCTTGAGTGTGAGACTGGTACTGTTGTGTTCTCCCCTTCCTTCGCATCCTGGGTCTTCACATCACTGAGCCAGCATTGTCATTATTCTCCACTGACACCATGAGTACACCGCTCAGACTTAAACTGTACGCAGAGTTAATGGCAGTGCAATATTCAGCTGCTACTGAGTCTGCCTGGTTGGCTCTTTTACATTTATGAAAGTGACTGAGGAGGAAATGCTATTTTTGGACTCCCCTTTGCTGGAAAAAAATATCATGGAAGAAAGACTTGTGGTTTGCTGTAACGAAGCCAGTAGATGTGGGGATAGTACTAATGAAGCAGTGTCTTGTTCTTTTTCCAGAAATGTGTCTTAGTTTGGTTCTTTCTTGGTAAGCAGAGTGCTGAACCTCATTTCCGAGTTCTTCAAGGACAGTGTTGACAAACGCGGGCTGTTAAAGACTTTTGCATATTGTAGTGTAACTTAAATGCCAGGGAATGTAAACGACCTTAAAGCTGCGGCGTCTCCAGTGAACAAACACGGTGCACATGCTCGGCACTGGGAGCGTGTCAGACTACGAAAAACACCCCGTGTCCCTACTCAGAGTGCAAACTTGCAGGAGTGAAAATCCCATTGCAGAATCAAAGCTTTCGTGAAATGCTTTCATGTTCTAACCAGGAATTAATTTATTCACCTAGTTTCCGAAAGGTCAGTGTTTACTTTGTACTTCAAAGAAACAAGTCAGCACCACCGTGCTTCATTTTTCATCTACCCCTTGGCTTGTTCTTCCCCTTTTAGGAATAAAAATTAATAAAGGGCAAAGTCAAGAGAGAAACATAGATACCACTGTAACGCGGAAACATCAAACCCTTAATCCAGAGTGACTGCGCGTTTCTAAGCAGATAGACTGGGAAGACCGTGGAAGCCTTAATACAATCAGAACCTTAGTCAAACGCATCAAATAATGACCTAAGATTAGTAGCATTTTTAAAACTGTTTTGTAAAGTGTGGTCCAAGCAGGATGCAAAAATGTGCAATCATCTGTCTTTCTCCTTTTTATTTTTTAAGCTGTTCTTTAAGATTCTCGCTCTAGGAACACTTCCCTCTTCTGCAGAGGCTGCTGCTGTCAGGAGAGAGCTCTGCCACGTTAATGAGTCCAAAATGATCTTTCTCTGTAGCGTTCTGCAGCAGCAATCGGTGCCCTTTCTGCAGTGATGGTAAAGAAAAGTGTATGATATAAGCAGTTTTAAAGAGCAATTTATGCATAATAAATTGGGAATGATATAAATTTCTTAGAAACATTTTTGTTGTGATCAGTCTTAATGTTCATGGGTTGGTTTGTTTCTTTTTTTTAATGTATTGGTTTTTAGGGGTCTTTTAGTTACCTTTAGATCTTCGTTTTTTAATTTCTATCCTCATCTTGCACTAGGCACAGCTTCTGTCACTGCTCCTCTCTGGTCACGAGCCACACGGACACCTTTATCATTTGAGAAATAATCCGCAAGTGCTGAGCAAAAAAATAATTCTCTGACTTTTTTTTTTTTTTTTTGGAAGTAGGAGAATAAGCAGTGAAAAATAGGCTTAAACTCCCTTTATAGCATGAAAAGGAATTTCTAAAATCTGAAGAATGATAATATATTAAAGGAGCTTTGTGCCTCTGCCACATACTTCTGATCAGCCTGTGCCTGGCAGGCTGATGGATTGACTGGAAAATCATGACGTCTTTCAGCTGGCTTGAGCGTACCCCATCTCGCACGGCTTTTTGTGGCGATGGATATTCCGGGGCGATTCCCTTTCCTGAGGAGTCCTCCCCGAGGAAGACACGGGGTTCAGGCTGATGCGCGTCCACGGTGGAGCCCACGCACCGTGCTGGAGTCAGCCGTGCCCGTCCTGGCGCGGGTTCCCATCCCACCACCACGTGTGTGCGGCACAGCTCCCACCGCAGCCCTCCGCGCAAGAGGTTCTCCGCAGCACTTCAGCGTAAGGTCTGGAGGCAGCACTTGTGTGAATGCCACCAAGGGACGTCTTAATTGGCTTCCTTTTCGTTCCCAACATATTTTCCAAGCAAAAAGCAGGAGTAAGCAGGTGCCACTCAATTCTTTTCCCTAAGAAACGCTGCTTGTTTAACTGGGGACCAGAGCGCTAGGAAATTAGGTGGCTTTTCCCCTTTTCTTTTGTTCTCTTAAAAATTGTGAACAATTGTACTAAAATTTTCAATACCCTGGAAAGAGCTCTTAATTCAGCTGGGACGTTAAAAGGATGCTCATGCTACCTGCAGGATTTAATGGTCACTTTATGTGTACATCATAGCTTAAAGTGATTTTTTTTTTTTCTTCTTTCCTCCCAAGAATCTCAAGTAACATTTAGACCGTGCTGCTATTTTACCTTCTAAACAGATACACAGAATTAGTATTTAATCAATACAATTTTGCTCTCTTTGAAGAGGGGCAGGGAGAAGGAAGGCGAGCATGAAGGCACTCTGGCAGCCAGGTTAGAGCAAGTGTGTTCACTGAAGAGAATTAGGGAACTGTCATTTTCTTACAACAAAACTATGGAAAAATGCAAAGTGTGGGTGTGGTGTGTACTATTTGCATTGAAACAATGTAATTTGTCTTTTTCCTTTTTTTTTTTTTTTTTTTTTTTTTGCTTTTCCTAACTTTTTATTTCAAAAATTGTACAGTCTTAGGGAAAAAAAAATTCTTTTCTGTTAATATATTTGCGATTCATTAAAGGATGTGGAAAGTCCAAATAAACTACTTTTAAAAGCAGGCTTATCCCTAGGTCCTTTGGGTCAGTGCGGGGATTCATCGTGCAGGAGGTGGGCGAGCGTGGCGGAGCTGGAGCGAGGTTTAAGGATTTTTAAGGTTTTGGGGTACGCAGGGGCCAAGTCCTGTCCTGCAGTGGCTGGTGATCCTGGTGTCACCTGTGAACCTGCTGCGGGCACCCAGCGAAGTGTGCTGCGAGGATCATCTTCCTGGGCTGGAATTTTGGGGCTGGAATTTTGGGTGAGGTGGTGGGGTGTTACAGGTGATGGTGGGGCACAGGGTGAGGTTTCTGTTCATCGCCAGCTCACGTCCAGCAGCTCTAAGCACCCAGGTATGGAGCAGATTTTTGTTTATTTTTTTATTCTGCCTTCTATAGCAGCTCATAACATTGTTTGTGGCTGCAACTGTTGTCGGCTCAGCAGAGAAATGATTACAGACTTCACTGCACTTTCACAGCATCCCAGACTGGTGAGGGTGAGGGCCCTCTGGAGCTCCCCCATCCCCCCCCCCGCCAGAGCAGGGGCACCTCCAGCAGTGGCACAGGACGGCGTCCAGGCGGGTTTGGGATGGCTCCAGAGGGGGAGCCTCCCCCACCTCTCTGGGCAGCCTGTGCCACTGCTCTGCCGCCCTCACAGCAGAGAAGGCCCTCCTCAGCTTCAGATGGAACTGCCCATGGTCACCTTTGTGCCCGTTCCCTCTTGTCCTGTCACGGGGCACCACTGGACACAGACTGTTCCCATCCCCCCGGCACCCTCCCTTTGGGGATTGAGAAGCGTTGAGGAGATCCCCCTCAGTCTTCTCTTCTCCAGACTGAACAGCCCCACGTCCCTCAGCCTTTCCTCAGCAGAGAGATGCTCCAGTCCCCTCCTCACCTCCGTAGCCCTTTGCTGGACCCTCTCCAGCAGTTCCCTGTCCTTCTTGACCCGGGGAGCCCCAAACTGGACACGGTGCTCCAGATGTGGCCTCCCCAGGGCAGAGCAGAGGGGGAGGATCACCCCCCTCGACCTGCTGGCCACACTCTTTGCAATGCCCCCCAGGAGAGCATTGGCCCTCTTGGCCACCAGGGCACATTGCTGGCTCATGGGCAACTTGTTGTTCACCAGGACTCGCAGGTCCCTCTCTGCAGAGCTGCGGAAAAGCTTGCCGGGAAGGCTGAGGCTCACAGCTCTATGGGAATTCCTCTTGCTGCACATACAGCCATCTCGGATTAAAGCTTTTAGCGCCCATTTTTGCCCCCTATATTCGCCTAATCCAGTAATTATTTTAGCAGCCAAGTCTGGCTGTAAAAGTGCCGCTGAACTTAACCCTTTCCTACACCTAGTTGCCTCCTCTTCTCACCCCCCTACCCCCCCATGTTTCTTTTAATCCTGGATTTCTACGTCGGTGCATACACGTGCAGTCCCGTAGTCACTCTCTGCTCTGTGGCCGCCTTCCCGTCCCGCTGCACGCGCGGCAGTGAGAGACGGGTTATTCTTCCTGTGTCTCGGTCACAGTGTCTCTGTGTCGGCTCAGACACGGCGGATTCCGGCTGTACGCTTCCTAGCGGCGAAACGAAGCTTCGGTACGGGTAGGCTGAGCTTTACGAGGTCTCCAGAGAAAAGCAAAGCGTTCATGAAATTTGCCTCGTGAACTGCATTACTTCGTTCCGTGTCTGAATCGCAGCAATGCCGTCAACACGAGGAGTTGTTCGTGTCTCGGGATTTTTCCAGCTCGGGAACGGTTTTGCCACCTGGTCTTTACAAACCCCTACAGCTTCTTACTGGTGCTCCACTCTGTTCATCAGTGACTTCGCTGCTGCATCACCTCCCTATTTTCTGTCCCTCTGTCGAAGTTAGTAACTTTATTTGAGCAAGACCCAGTCCCGGAGTAGGCACAGGTTCATGGGTTTTTTTAAATGGAGCAGAAGAAGGGGGTTTCTAAGGCAGGAAGTGCTGTGTTCCTGAGCCTCAGAGGAGCAGGGTTTAAAATTATATTAACACAGAGAGTAAGACCTCCCCTGCTGCTTTCTCCTCTCTGCTTTTCAAATCAGCATTGGTGGAGCACCCGATTTGGGGTCCAGCTGCTCTACAAACCCTGGGAGATGATCCTTGCTTTGAAATGCCACAGCGGCGGGCAGCCGGGGGGACAGGGACAGGGACGGGAGGGGACCCGGTCCCTTGCCCGGGGTCACAGCACCGGACCTGGACAGCAAACTCCTCTTAAGCCTCTGTGTCCTCACATCCAGCTGGGCAGAGTCA